CCCTGGGTTGTTAAAGTGAGGTTAGCGATGTGGTGCCATTGCTGGTTTATACAGTGCATGCAAGATCGCGAAGTTTCTTTTTTTTTGAAAGTTTAATAATTTCTGCTACATATCATGTCCAGAGTGCAGTATATTGAAATGTCTCATGGTAAGATTAACTTTGATATGTTTTTGTCACAACTCCCCCAGCCCCCACTTCCCCTTCCCCAACTTGGTTCTAGCCTATTTCTAGTGTGCAAGAAATAAAAAAAAAATAAAAAAACACCGAATCTCAAAGGTTCTATTGATTTATCAAGACATATACTATAAAGACCTGCTAAAATATTTGTGAAAGTCCATTTTTATCATTAGACACTGAGATAAACACTTCAGTTAGCTACTGAAAAATGTCTAAAAACCCACTTAAGAAACTTTTTATTCAGTGCGAGGAATCACAAATTTTTCAGTCGGCTGATGCACATTGCGAGGTCATTTCCTGGAACCAGCCATAGCTGTTGGAACTTTGTTTGAATGTCTTTCGAAATGTTCTACACCAGAGGGACATCATCTTATGAACCGAGCAAAGTATTTCAGAGGACCAAACTGAGCACTGAAAAAGAAATCTGTGACAAAGCCTATTAACATGTGTAAAAAAAAAAAAAGTCACATTTCAGAGACATAAATGAACGTGAACATTAAGCAGCAGGGCTTTTGTAGCAGTCCTGTGCTGCAGTTTATCCATTCACATCCATTTACATAAACGGCTCATCAAGACAGAGACTGGCAACAGAGCTAGATATCAGGTCAAAAGGCAGATCATTTACATATTTGCAGATTTTTAATTTTAATTTCTGGCTTGAGTAGTGAAGCGACAACATAATTATTTAAAAACGGAAAGTCATTGACGAAAACAGTGTTCAAAATAAATGTGTTTTTTCAAGCTCAAAACGGATGTCTCATCTGTTTAGAGTCTGTGACGGTGGTCAAAAGTGGAAATGTTTAAGACCACTGCGAAACAAATCACTGCAAAGTAACCTACCCACAAAATTTATTTCTGAAGACAAATAAAAAAACCCAAAACTCAACATGATCATAAACATGTTCTTAAACAGCACCTTTATTTTAGGAATTTTTCTTCAGTGGACAAATATTTTTTAAAGTTTTAAGATTTGTTATTTTAAAAATATTTTTGGTCAAACAATTGTACTATTAAAATGATCATTAGATTTTAAAAATATGATCATGTATCAAAATACACTGATCAAGCAATTTATTAGGAACACTATACTAATACACTGCAGGGCCTCCCTTTGCTCTCAAAACAGACTCAATTCTTCATGCCACGGATTTTACAAGATTTTGGAAACATTCCTTTGAGATTCGGGTCCATGTTGACATGATTGCATCATGTGATTACTGCAGATTTTTCAGGAGCTGCGAATCTCTCGTTCTACCACATCCCAAAGATGTATTAGTGGATTCAGATCCGGGGGCTGCGAAGGCCATCGATGAACACTGAACTCAATCTCATGTTCATGAAACCAGTTCAAGGCTACTTTGGCTTTGTGACATGGTGCACTATCATGCTGGAAGTAGACATTAGAAGATGGTCAATTGTAGCCATGAAGGGACACACATGGTCAGCAACAATACTCAAATAGGCTGATTGATTGGTATTAATGGGCCCAAATTGTGCCAAGAAAAGTCCTTACCATTACACCACCTCCACCAGCCTGGCCTGCTGACTCAAGGCAGGTTGGGTCTATAGATTCATGCTGTTGGCACTAAATTCTGACCCTACCAGAACAGGCTATGTTTGTCCAGTCTTCAACTACCAGTTTTGATGAGCCTATGCCCGCTGCAGTCTCAGGTTCCTGTTCTTGGTTGACAGAAGTGGAATCTGACATGGTCATCTTTTGTTGTAGCCCATCTGCCTCGAAGTTGGACGTGTTGTGCATTCTGAGATGTTTTTCTCTTCACCACAATTGTACAGAGTGGTTATCTGAATTACTGTAACCTTTCTGTTAGCCTTAACCACTCTGGTCATTCTCTGTAGACCTCTCTTATCAACAAGGCGTTTTCATCTGCAGAACTGCTGCTTACTGGATGTTTTTCTTTATTGCACCGTTCTGAGTGAGCTCTAGAGACTGCTGTGTGTGAAAATCCCAGGAGATCAGCAGTTATAGAATTACTCAAACCAGCCCATAATAAAGTGCTCGGTAAGTGTATATTTGATGTCTTACTATATTTTATTAGTTGCTTGGACTAATCATTAACGCTTAAGCATTTAAAGGCAGTTATTGTCACCATTCACCTATATTAGACCATTCATCTAGAACTTTGTAAGCAAAAAAAATGATGCGACTGGGCCTGATCTAGACTGACGACTGACATATGGGGATAAATGCACTCTTAAAACTAAAGGTTCCTAAATGGCATTTGGCTTTGACATACGGTTCTTGGAAAGAAAAGTCCTTGACTGATGTAGAACCTTCAAATTACATGGCAGTTCTAAACTTAAAATAGGTTCTTCACCCCCACATATCTCGTTTGCAAAGAGAACTATCCATTGAAAGGTTCTCTTAGTTAAACTAATATAGTTCTTCTATGGCATCACTCCAAAGAACCCTTTTTGGCACTGCTGTTGTTAAGAGTGTAGGTGAAAGTTAAAGCAATACTTGTCCTGGAGTAGCCCTGCTCTGCACATTGTAGCGTCTTCTCTACTCCCAACACACCTGCCTGAACTCATCAGCTAATTAACAAGCCCTTTATGAGGTTAAATGGGTGTGGGGAGCAGGGAAAACGCAAAAAAATGTGCAGCGCAGGAGAACTCCAGGAGCAAGACTGGAAAAGCACTGTTCTAGTGGATCATGCCTTGATCACATCTGACTGCCATAAACAACGCTTCTCAGGGGTCTGGGTGATTATCTGCCAACACAACTGTCAAACATGCTGCTTCTGCTGAACAAATAACTTCGGGGAAACATTAAACTACCCATATAATAATTAACTAGACTGTGCTGTGGGAGATGATTGTGTCTCAGTAGGAAATGTAATGTTTGAATCCAAATGAAGCCAAAAATTTAGCATACACTGAAAAAAGTGATGCAATTAATAGTAACACATATACACACATATACACACAGTATATACTACAACAGCACACTTGTCTCTTTCAGACAGTAATTTTGTTGATGTAGGAAACTATTTTCATGTGGAATTTATGGATACATTTAAATCTAAATCAAATCAAACGGTCAACTGATTTATCCTCAACATATACCCATAAGCCATGACATTAAAACCATATCCATAGTTTTACAATTACAGACTGTAGATCATCTGCTTCAATACTTGCATACTTAGCTCCCTTTTGCCCTGTTCTTCAATAATCTTGACCCCCGCAAGACCACCACAGAGCAGGTATTATTTGGGTGGTGGATCATTCTCAGTACTGCAGTGACACTGACATGGTGGTTGTGTGTTAGTGTGCGTTGCGCTGGTACAAGTGGATCAGACACAGCAGTGCTGCTGGTGTTTTTAAACACCTCACAGCTTAGTGTCACTGCCGGACTGAGAATGGTCCACCAATCAAGAATATCCAGCCAACATCCTGTGGGCAGCATCCTGTGACCACTGATGAAAGACTAGAGTAAGACTAACACAAATTGTGCAGCAGCAGATGAGCTATCGTCTCTGACTTTACATCTACAAGGTGGACCAACAAGGTAGGCGTGTCTAATACAGTGGACTGTGAGTGGACATGGCATTTAAAAATCCACCCAGTGCAACACACACTAACAAACCACCACCACGTCAGTGCTCCGAATAATCCACCACCCAAATAATTCCTGCTCTGTGGTGGTCCCATGGGTGTTCTGCCACAGAAGAACAGGGTGAAAGGGGGCTAACAAAGTATGCAGAGAAACAGATGGACTACAGTCTGTAATTGTAGAACTACAAAGTGCACCTACATAGTAAGTGGAGCTGATAAAATGGACAATGAGCATAGAATCAAGGAGGTGGTCATAATGTTATGCCTGATATGTCAGTACTTTAAAGAGCAAAAAAAACACCAGTTGACTAAAAATGCCATAACGGGTTCACACGCATGACAGTGTTTCTACTTATATTAGGCACTTTTTAATTTTTAGCTTTAAATGTTTAATATATATGTACATACTTGTGTACAACAATGCATCCAAAATTTCCCTGATTTCCACTCATACACAGGCACAGCTCAAGAGAGGACAATGAATTAGGCCAAATAATAAATGTAATAAAAACATTTTTACATTGCCTTACATTAAAAGTGAAGAAGGTGTTTTCCTTCCTGCTGAAAGGTAACTTTTTTTGAGATACAAAGGTTTATTTCAATAGCGATGATTTACATTTCTTTGTGGAAAAGTTGCTTGTACATTATTGAAATGTTGTACATTTTCTTATACTTTATGTTGTTGCTGTTTTATAAAAGCAATCCACTTGAGGTCATGAATAGTGTTTTACCAAGAGGTTACCACCCCCTTTATGTTGTGCCTAAGAACAGCCCTTACCCATGAAAAAATCACAATAATGGCACTATTAGGCATTATTCTCAGGATACCACAAGTTATGTAAACACTTCAGCCCTGTTGTCAAACTGTTCCTGCATATTGCCAGTTCTGAAGTATGCAAGACTTTGATTATGCTGTTTGCATAACTGTCTTGACTTTTACTGAATGCACAAAATCATAGTTAACCTGATGTGAAAAATAAGCTATGAGAGGCAATAGGAACACCAGTCATTACTCCTGTTTTCCGCTCCAGCTTCACCTGAAGCTGGCCCACAGCATCTGCCACCAACTGACAAAGCTCATATGTCGTATACGAATACAAAAAAGAGCCTGAAACATTCCTGCAAATATTCAAAAACTATGAAAATCATGTTCAACAAAGCTACTGGTGCTGGCCAGGAAAGACAATGAAAACCAGCAGCATTAGATGACCACTACAGACATGCATAAAATACATCAATGTCTCACCTGTATATCTTGTATCGGGTGGAAAAGCCTTGGCGGTTCCTCTCCACAAAGTCGGTGTACTCCTGGGAGTGGTGGAAGGGGCCCTTGTCTGAAAGGAGCCAGTCCAGGGGCCCAGCGGGACCATCCTCAGCCAGACTGGCAGACGCAGCCAGCCAGCAGTGGAGGCCCAGAGACAGCAGCAGCTCCCATAGAGCCATGAGGAGGCCAAGCACCGCAGGCTTCAGCAGCACAGGCACTGAGGCAACAGCACGCTCCCCCACTCAGCACTGCAGATCAGCATGGCCTCCTGTCCCCACAAACATCTGGAGAAAGGACAGATTGTACATCTGCACATAGGCACACACACAGTTTTGGTATTTACATATTATGTAGACGTGGTGTCATATATACAGCACTTGCCAAAATAATGTTTTTTGTTATTTTCTACACAATAATAACTTATATAAGGGTGTAACAGTTCACAAAATTCATTATTTGACTCAAAGCTATATAGCAGTGTCTCGAGTTCATACTTTTTCAAAACTGCATTTTGAAATAAGAAATAAAAGAGTACTCAAAATGTGCCTTACATTACTATGTTAATGTTTTATTAGAGCATGCAACATTATAAAAGTGCAATATTTTAGACAAAAGCTGCGTTTCTAGTGTCCCAATCTAATGCTTTAGCCTCAAGCTAATATGTTAGCCATGAGCTAACACACTAGCCTCAGGCTTACATACCAGTCATGATACAACAACACAACATAATATGCTGCAAAAAAATCTGAAACAATTATATGTTGTATTGTTACATCCCCAAACTTATACACAGTAGATTAAAGATGTGTACATGCCTTATTCAACATTTCAAGAATTTAGGAACAACAGGATGATAAATAATATACTGTAAATAACTATTATGATACATAAGTATTATGATCCATTCTGAATGTAATTCTGAGGTATTCTGAGTGGTATTATGTTGCATTGTGAATAGTATTCAAAATGTTATTATGATACATTCTGAATGTCGTTCTGTGTATTATTCTAAGGCATTCTGAATGCTATTCTGAGATATTCTGAATGTTATTATGATGCATTCTGAATGTTATTATGATGCATTCTGAATGTTATTTAATCAATAGAACACTCGAGGTTGTGTGTTATCGTGAAATAACATCACGGCTGTGATTTACCGTAGCACGCGACCTTGAGTGCTCTATTGCTTTTATACAACAGTTAAATAAATAAGCAAGAAATTAATAAATTGGGCCGTGAACGCGGCATTTAATATGTTTTAATGTTCGCAATTCCTTCCGCCAAATTATAGTTCCTTAACAAGCAGCTTGTTGCTACGTCAGAGTAATGACCTCCGCTCACTCTCTGCACAGCCAGCAGTTCTCCAGCTCCTTACACTAAATTCTGAAACTGTCATTACCACTGAGCAAGCTTTTCAGTCGGCAGCAGTGACAGAAGAACACCTAAATAACCTGGAATTAGCCAGAAATGAATCTACTACTATTCGCCAAATGTGTAGTCTCATCTTCAGAGTCATAAAACTGCCGCAATTTTAAGTGTAGCTCAGTTTTGTCAATTTTTGCTAGATCAATATTAATGTTGTTTTGTTTCACCCAGTCTGTAAAGCATCTTACAGCCCATTTTGTTTGGCGAATGGTTTTTGGTTCATTTCTGGCTAATTCCAGGTTGTTTAGGTGTTCTTCTGTCTCAGCTGCTGACTGAAAAGCTTGCTCAGTGGTGATGACAGTTTGGGAATTTAGTGTAGTCTCATCTTCAGAGTCTGACCAAATCGGCTGTCGGTCAAATGTGATCTTAAAAGTATCCATTTTCTGTTTGTGCGCAAAGTAAGAAGTAAAAACGTTCAAATGGCTTGAACGTCTCCTACAGCTGTCAAAGTCGTTGCTTAGCAACGGTGTCTCAGTGGAGTAACACAGTGTTTGTGAAAAAAAAAAACGTGCTGTTGTTTCGCCATAGAATGCTTCTCAACCAATCAACTTGTATGGCCGGAACTAACTGTTGCATAATCTGAGGTATTCTGAATGTTATTATGACGCACTCTGAATGCCATGCTGAGAAATTCTGAATGTTGTTATGATGCATGAATGGTCTTCAAAATGTTATTATAATGCATTGTGAATGTTGTCTTTTGTGTTCTGATGCATTCTGAACATTATCCACCTTATTTCTACACCTCATGATGCTTGAAGTGACTTCCAGAAAACTTCCAGCGAAGCGTAAACTGACAATATGCTTGTAACATCCGAACATAACAGAAATGTGGGAACAAATAAAAATTTCAATAATCGTTATTTTTGGGATGCCTGAATACTTGTGTGCTAATGTTTGTACCTTAATCAACCTGCCAAAAGAGACCTGAACCTGGAGGAGAGAAACACTTCAGTCAGAGGATCCTATTTATAGCCTACACCAGTTATTCATGCTAATAAAGTCATTTAATTTAAACATTTTAAATGTGTTTACACTGAGAGTCACATACAGGCAGAGAACCACAAAGCAGTGCCATTACATAGCTACAGGATTCCTTATATCTTCACAATGGTAGCTAGCTATGTTAGTGTTAAGCTAGTGGGGTTAGCTCGGCGCTATGGGATTTTTATGTCAAGTCTAGTTTAAATATGAATATGTATGTCAGCTCTAGCTTAAACATGGATCTTTTTAGCTCATGACAGTATGTCTCAGTTTTTAAGTAATGCTTTATTTAAAAGCTTGAACTTAAAGTCTGTCTTTTATTATTGCTGCCTGGTCAGCCTACTAGTGAAGCCAAAATATGGCCACTTAAGAGAATATAACCTGTAAACCTGTTAAAGCAAGCCTGTTAGGAGCAAACAGTGATGTTCAACCGGCAGTTCATCAGATTGCATTTTATGTGCCAGATTTCAACTCTAACAACTGGACTTTTTTTAAGCAGTGATTATGAAGCCACATTCACATGTCTGCTGAAGCTCTGTGCTATTTATGCTTGTAACATTGCTGTCCTTGCCGTAATTTCATCTTCACTTGGCTGTACTGACAGCCGCACACTGCATGATGTCTCAGAATGACTCAGAAATAATCTGAAACACAGTGGTCACGTGAAAAATAAGGTGAATAATGATGCATTCCGAATGTTATTATTAGATATTCTGAATGTCATGAGACACTGAACATTATGAGACATTCTGAATATTCAGATGAGACATTCTGTATTAATTATGATGCAGTCTGAATGTTATTTTCAATGTTATTATGAGGCATTCTGAATGTCATGAGGCATTGAATGTTATTATTAGACATTCTGAATGTTCATGTTATGTTTATAGTCTCCTAGCTTCCTGCTTATTATATGAAACATGTAAATTTGCACAAGACTGGCATATTAGAAATATTTTATACATTTGTAAAATATATTTTATACACTCAAATTGGTTTATTACTATGGAAAACACTGATTACAAACTTTTATATGATGATTCCAAGCTCTTGAACAGGAATGGAGTGTATGTGCGAAACCCTAAAAATGAAAGTTGGAGCTTTTATAAAAATAGAACTTTACAAAGTCAGGAGCATTTTGTTGATGGCCCTGTTTTCCTCTGGCTTTTATATAAACTCAGGACACACACACACACACACACCAAGCAATTAGCCAAAAACTCTCCTGACTCCTTAAGGCCATGAAAACTTCATCAGGGCCACTGAGAGATCTCATGAAGACTGAGTGGAGAGCGCAGGAAAATTATCCATTATGGGAATAGCCTACTAATTGTCTGAAAGTGAGAAGAATAAGTATTCACTTAAAATTTTAATGAGCTTTCTTTTTTTTCTTCCAGAGAACAAATTGAAACCAGGTTAACAATGAAAACAAGTAAAAGGAAACTTTTTAGTGGTTGAAAAGGTATACGCCTCGTGCCAGCTTCCATGGTAGGATTATGTTGTTACATCATATCCACTGAAATGACACCACTTACATTAGATTACTAAAAATGAGCCCATCTGCCACAAAGTTATACACACAGTTCACTGTAGACTGCAATACATGGCTTCGAATATCAATGCTACGATTCGCCACAATGCCAAACAAATAATTGCTAGTTTTCCACTTCCTCTGTCTGTAATCTGTCTTCGTTCTCTCTCGCTGTTCCAGCTCTTGTTCTGGTCCTGCTATTATTTCCATATTTTTTTTTCTACCAAGTGCTGTCAATCATTTCCTGCAGCCGTGACTGAAGCAGATGTTGGAAAAGCGTCTCATTACTGTAGTATGATGACAATCTGCCAACTGATGTCTGCCATGTGACCAGATGTGTGGGCGTCTCTCAAAAAACCTTCTCTCTAGTGTGGTGTAGCATGTATGAGGATGCATACAGAGTTTATTAGAAGCGTTAAAGCTACAAACAGCGTCTTTTGGGTTAATGTTTTCCCACTTTCACACTGCTGTAGGCATGACCGTTTTCATGTGTCTGAAACTGGACTGAATAAATTAGCAGCAGATTCTGGCATTTTAGCATGCCCGTTATTCATTCTGGGGTTTAGTATTTTGTGGGCTTATTTAATTGATGTTGACGAGAGTGGCATTCATTTACATGTAATTTAGCGCTGAAAGCTTTCTGATTATAGGGCTTTTAACTATAGCTAAGCAATAAGTGACTCTAGCCACAGAATATATCACAAATGGACCAAATAGGATAGTGTACATCAATGCTTGGTGTTTCAGCATTAAGACTATAATTAACAGTGTAACTCATGAGAGTAATTGTATGACCATAATTAAATCCACTGAAAAAGAACACATGGTAATAGCACTGTCTTGTGCAAAACGTCCTTATTTGATAACAAATGTTCTAACTCAAATTTAAATTGCGTCAGAAAGATGTGGAAGTTATTAATGGTCAGCTGCTGTCCTTTATTGGAGCCTTTTTTGCATGCCTCCAAGTTCTCATCTCCAAAAGGACCCTACAATGTAATGGACTGATAAGCAGATCCATAACAGGCTGAACACAGTTCCAATCTGGGCTACAATGCTTCCGCTGTGATTACAGCAGATTTAAAAGCAGGCCTTTTTTTGCTGCATGACATCTAATTCTTCAACGTAGACGTCCGTTCTCTTCCATGAATAACGATGAGCAGGCTCCAGTGGAACACAACAGCCTCTCAGTGGGGATCCCACAACGCAGCACACTTCAATGCTACGGTGAGCCACAGAACGAGGGGCCTTTCAAATGCCAGCTACCTCTGCATTTCAACAACCACTTGTTCTGGCTTACTGCTCCTCTGTCTTATGTAGCAATCCAGTGCCCCTCTGCTCTAGTGC